TGAAATAAGGTACTAAACGTTATGCTGTGAAATAAGGTACTAAAACATTATGCTCTGAAGTAAAGTATTAAAAACATTATGCTGTGAAATAAGGTACTAAAACATTATGCTCTGAAGTAAAGTATTAAAAACATTATGCTGTGAAATAAGGTACTAAAACGTTATGCTGTGAAATAAGGTACTAAACGTTATGCTCTGAAGTAAAGCATTAAAAACATTATGCTTTGAAATAAGGTACTAAAACGTTATGCTGTGAAATAAGGTACTAAACGTTATGCTCTGAAGTATTAAAAACATTATGCTGTGAAATAAGATACTAAACGTTATGCTCTGAAGTAAAGTATTAAAAACAGTATGCTGTGAAATAAGGTACTAAAACGTTTTGTTGATATTAAAGTGTCGTAGAGTAACTATTACTCTCCAACGCATATAACTATGGCCAAAATTTTTGGATAACCCTAATTATCCAATGTTGCTTTTGAATGAATCCTGCTGAATAATGTTACGTTTAAAGGCTGCATGGGGGAATCTAAAGAATAACTTGACCTCCATAGTTTTTTTCGTTCTCATTGTCGTTTTGTAAAACTTTTTTTTTGACAATTTAATATTAATTACTTATTGCAAGTAAAGCGCCCTCCATAGTTTTTTTTTCGCTCTTAGTAACATCTTGCTATCTGGTTGTGCCTCAGAGAAACCACCTATAAGCAATCTTTCTGAATAAAGAGCTACTGAGAAGCATTGTAACATATATAAGATAATCTGGGTTGGTTGAGATAGTCAGTTTGAACCAGTTAAGATAGCAATTAAAGACAATCGAGATTTGAGGAGTGTTGGAAAATTCCGGCGACTTCTGCAAGTTCTTGGTTTTTCTCAGAGTGAAAACACAGTAATGATATATGATCTGACATTGTATTTATTGTAGCTTTACATCACACAGTCTGTAAAAGCGTAAACTTGATACTTTATTACCAGGTTCTTCAAATATTCTTGGAGGGGGAAAACAGTCGCCTCTCCACAATTGGCGTCGACCATAGTTAGGTTTGATTAGAAAGAAGCCGTATGTAGTCTAATTTTTAGCTTATGGGGCGACGGGCGAAGGGTCCGAGATTCGAGACATGATCCCGCTTAATATGTTCCGCATTTTCAACTATGATTTATCATAAAAGTGACAGTCAGTCCCGTTATTCAGGTCCAAAGCCTATTATGACATAGGGGGCTGGTGGCTGTCTTTGCTTCCGTCAGTAGTTAAAAATTAGGGATAGTTACATTTGAACCCTGGGAGTTCTCTGACCCCCAACATGCTCACATAATGCTCAGCCAGATTGAAAATTCCAACAGTCGAGAAAAATGTCTGAATTACCAACATGAAATTAAGTGGTACTATTTGTCCTGACTTTAAGAAGTGTTTCAAACAATTCCCGCGATTTTACGACCCCCCCCCCCCTTATAGTCACACACACACACATAAAATCTAAAACAATCGTACCATCACTTGTGACTACTCTCAGTCTAACTAGGTCACTCTTGTTGCCGACGAGGACGACAGCTTTGTTGTTGATGCTCGCGGTTTCACAGATCTGTTGAAGTAAGTTCTTAGCTTGCTGAAAGCTATGTTTGTTGGTCACGGAATAAACGACAGCAAAAGCATCAAGATTAGAAGTTTCCGGAAGTATCTGCGACTGCTGAAAACAAACGATATATACTCATTTCAAAACATTAGGCCTAAATATGGTACGTACACATTGTGCACCGACTGAAATTACTACATTAAATCAAAGAAATACTTTTTTTGTTGCTTTCTTTTAAGAGTGAAAATGCACGAGGTTGCGTTGCGCTCGAGAAAAAAAAAGATTATATAAATTTTATAACATTTCAATAAAATGTATAATTTTCATAACATAAACGGTTAGGCTTAACGTCACCTATCTTTAATATGGGTTTGGACTTAATTTATGTTTTTACTCGGAAAGTCCTCTTGAAATTGCTAAATTTTTTATGTTCCATTCCTACATGTATATTATGTATTTTAACGTGTTTCTATACCTTCTGATTGACACGAAACATTTCATCTGAGTAAAACATATTTAAACTCCTTTTTCCCACGTTGAATAGCTTTTACGTTTTAGAAAATACTGTCCAGTTCAAGTAAAATAAAAGCTCAGCATTAAGACTTATAACGTTAAAATCCCGATATTCGAAACCTGGTCATAAAGCAGATATCCCCTTGTGCAGCTTTGCGCTTGAACATAAACAAAGAAATGTAAATATAAAAATCCTAGATATTCTGATTCAACAGATTTGCCAGGATAAATGAAACATTATTATCGAACGGAAATGACATTTTAAGTTGATCGTACAACATCAGAAATTTAATTTGCCTATGCGAAAATCAAATATGAAATTATCAAAGCTAACAATTCCACGTGCTCATTTCTACGCTGTGATACAAACACGTGACAGAAAAGTGTGAAAATAAGCTTGGCCGCCTAACCAGGGGAGCAGAAAAAGGTAAGTGCCAACACATTTTGAATATTTTTTAGTAATGTTCGCTCGCCAGTTCTTCCTCACCCACTCACCCCCTACACACGCACATTTTTAACGCACGTGCACGTGAGTACAATGTTACTTGACTCGAGAGTTAACAAAATCGTTTAGAGACAGTGTTATATAACCGAAATCTTGGGGGGGAAAGGGGTGTCCCAAAAATAAATCACCCACATTTCTATTTTCATTTACTTTAAAATTTCAGACTTTTTTACGCAGAGCTACACAAAGGGCTGTCTTTACATAGTTGTCCCTAACTTTCAACTGATAGACTAGAGTGACAACAACTAGTCAACATCATCAACCTTCAGTTCTGTAGTTACCCTTGACTAGCCCCATAGTGGCTCAACGGTAAATCTGGAGGCTTGTACCGCTTAAAACAGGTTTCGATACCTGTGGTGAGCGCAGCGTAGAAAGCCCATTGTGTAGCTTTATCTTTAACAACAAACAAACAAATAGTGGGCTTTGACTGTCACTCTTATACCGCTCACACTTTCCCAAAGTGCGGAGCGCATTTTAAGGCAACGGGCCGCTAACCATGAACCCTTTGATTCGTAGTTGTAGCATACTAACCACTAAGATACACCTGATTCATTTCAATCTTTTATTTATAGTTTGAGGTAGAAATTATTAGAATTCCAAAACTGACCTAAAAGCATTTTTCCTTTGAGCTATAACTCAAGAACTACGGGCTTCAAAGTACAAACCCGTTACTAAAAGTTTCAAATTTTTGTTATCAAACATCGTTTTTCTCCCTTGATAATTCTTTCTAAAGCGTGGTATATTTTGCACAATATTTAATTTTCTCGACGACAGAACATCAGAGTTAACGCGTGACCTCATGCAGCAGTGGTCGATGGTTGCTGTGGTAACGCAGCTTTTCAAGAATGCATGCTGTGTAATGTTTGTCATGAATCGGAGTAACTTTCTTTTCGTCCTTGTGAATTTCCTTGATACTCCTATAACAATGCTTACAAGTGTAATGTTTGTCATGAATCGGAGTAACTTTCTTTTCGTCCTCATAAATTTCCTTGATACTCCTATGACAATGCTTACTAGTGTAATGTTTGTCATGAATCGGAGTAACTTTCTTTTCGTCCTGATGAATTTCCTTGATACTCCTATAACAATGCTTACTAGTGTAATGTTTGCCATTAATCGGAGTAACTTTATTTTCGTCCTTATGAATTTCCTTGATACTCCTCTAACAATGCTTACTACTGAAATGTTTGTCATGAATCGGAGTAACTTTATTTTCGTCCTGATGAGTTTCCTTGATACTCCTATAATATTGCTTACTAGTGTAATCTTTGTCATGAATCGGAGTAACTTTCTTTTCGTCCTGATGAGTTTCCTTGATACTCCTATAATATTGCTTACTAGTGTAATCTTTGTCATGAATCGGAGAAACTTTCTTTTCGTCCTTATGAATTTCCTTGATACTCCTATAATATTGCTTACTACTGAAATGTTTGTCATGAATCGGAGTAACTTTCTTTTCATCCTGATGAATTTCCTTGATACTCCTATAATAATGCTTACTAGTGTAATGTTTGTCATGAATCGGAGAAACTTTCTTTTCGTCCTGATGAATTTCCTTTATACTCCTATGACAATGCTTACTAGTGTGATGTTTGTCGTGAATTGGAGTAACTTTCTTTTCGTCCTTATAATTTCCTTGATACTCCTATGACAATGCTTACTAGTGTGATGTTTGTCATGAATTGGAGTAACTTTCTTTTCGTCCTGATGAATTTCCTTGATACTCTTATAACAATGCTTACTACTGAGATGTTTGTCATGAATTGGAGTAACTTTCTTTTCGTCCTGATGAATTTCCTTGATACTCTTATAACAATGCTTACTACTGAAATGTTTGCCATTAATCGGAGTAACTTTCTTTTCGTCCTGGTGAGCCCCCCAGTGGCACAGCGGCATGTATGCGGACTTACAATGCTAGAAACCGGGTTTCGATAGCCGTGGTGGACAGAGCACAGATAGCCCATTGTGTAGCTTTGTGCTTAACTTCAAACAAACAAACATCTTGATGAATTTCCTTGATACTCCTATAACAATGCTTACTACTGAAATGTTTGTCATGAATCGGAGTAACTTTCTTTTCGTCCTTATGAATTATTTGAAGTTTATGAATAACAAAACTGCTTACTGTTTGCCAATTCTCGTATAGAAATTATTTTTATATATTTAAATGAGCCGTACAGTATAGCGCCTTAATCATATTGCATACACTGTTTAAACAAGTTAATCACGAAAAATGCCAAACGTTATTGATTAACTTAGGCTCACGCGCATAATTTTGGTTCCAAAACGGAGTAGGACAGATATTAATCGCTATTTGTGAAAGAAGGGGGAGAATCTCTTGTTAATGAAAAACAATTTATTTTTATTCCTTATATATATATATATATTAATGCGGGAGAGTCACTTAAGGCTATCTTCATCATGTATGTAATAACGATCATGTTTGCGTAATAAGTCATTCTTGTACCAATGTTTCGCGAAATAATTTAGCGAATTATGTAGGAGATTATCGGTTAACGTTTCTATGTTTGCATAATTGTGCATGAATGTGGAGGATGTTGAAAATAGTGCTGATTCGTTTGAATTTCGCGCAAAGCTACTCGAGGGCTAGCCGTCCTTAATTTTGAAGTGATAGACTAGAAGGAAAGCAGCTTGTCAACATCATCTACCGCCAGCTCTTGGGCTATTCTTTACCAACGAATAGTGTGATTGTCCGTCATATTATAACGCCCCCACGGCTAAAAAGACGAGCATGTTTGGGGATTGGATTCGAACTCATGTTGCAAGTCGAGTACCCTAACAATTAGGCCATGCTAGGCTAAAAATAGAGAATCATATTGTTTTATAAAAATTCTTGTTACCCTTACCATGATATCTAGAAGTGAATGTTCCACAAAAAGCAACTCTGTCTCTTGTCCATTAAGAACTACTTAAAGAGACAGAGTTGCTTTTTGTGGAACATTCACTTCTGGATAACATGGTAAGTAGTTCTTAATGGACAAGAGACAGAGTTGCTTTTTGTAGAATATCCATTCTGGATAACATGGTTCCACAAAAAGCAACTCTGTCTCTTGTCCATTAAGAACTATGGTCACTGACTTCTCATTCTCTTCTGCTGTTAGTGTAGAAAAAAAAGAGTTAATTTCAACAAGTCTCAATTCCAAATGTGTTCAAAATCTGATTTGCTATAGTCGAACATAATTAAGATGGCGATATTTAAGGTCGTATTTTATTGCAATGAAAAGGGAAAAAAACAACCTTCCAAATTTTCATGATAAAATCCTATTAAAGTATTATTCCATAATCATAAGGATTCGACATTTTTACGATAGTCAACAAATTCAGCGATAATAGTGTGTGTTCCAACTTATGTACAGTAACACAACCTGTACCAACCATTCTTGACATTATAAAATGTCAAGATATTACATAAATACTTCTGTTTTCCTACAAACAATGTCAAGATGTTACATAAATACTTCTGTTTTCCTACAAACAATGTCAAGATATCACATAAATAATTCTGTTTTCCTACAAACAATGTCAAGATGTTACATAAATACTTCTGTTTTCCTACAAACAATGTCAAGATATCACATAAATACTTCTGTTTTCCTACAAACAATGTCAAGATGTTACATAAATACTTCTGTTTTCCTACAAACAATGTCAAGATGTTACATAAATACTTCTGTTTTCCTACAAACAATGTCAAGATATTACATAAATACTTCTGTTTTCCTACAAACAAAGTACAGTACAGCAGGTTCTTACCATCACAGAAAGAAATACTTCTGTTTTCCTCAAATAAAAATATATAAAAAGATTTGACATGTATAATATGTTACCTTCGCTCTATTTACTAAACTTGTGGATTTATTTTCGCTTTAATTGAATTGGATTAATATGCTTTGTCGGGAACTTTTATTTGGGAAAATAACTGATAAAGATTGAAAGTAGATCCAATAAAATGTACATTTCTGAAAAAATCATAAACACCTTTGTAAAATTTAATTAAAAACTTAGAATGTTTCTGTTTGTCTATATTGTTTAAATTTTCACTTTAAAAAATCGGCACATTATCCCCAGTTGGTTGAATTTTATTTCATTCCGTTTTCTTGTTGCTCATTAAAAGATAATTTTATAACTAAACTAATCACCTTATATTAATTATGTTATATAAAGTCTTGCCATTAGGGCTTTAATGAAAAAATAGTCACTGTTACGTTAATATGCCAATCTGCCTATGTTTAGGTTATTCTTCCTTATTCATAAGCTTGAAAGAGTATTAGGTTTTAAGAATCACCCACACGTTTAACTATTAAAAAAAAAAGCAGTTGGCAACGTACAAGATTAGTAAACTAACAGTATCACTTAATGTTTCCCCAACCTTACTTAACACACTAAACATTATAATTGAGTTGAATAAGTATTGAAGATGTGTTTTCAGGTTTCTCATTATGATCGTGGAAACGAAACCAAGATGACACGTGTGTGTGTGTCTGTCCCAAAACTTGGGTAGAGAACACCACCGTGATAACCAACCCCGTTCTTATCTAGGACATTCACAATCTTCTTTTACAAATATACAATTCCTTTTAGTTGTTCTTGTTACTTTCTTTACTTTTGTTTCTAGAACAAATAAAGAACTTCTGACAAATAGCTTTAGGACTATTTTTAACTGATTATATTTACCAAAAATAATTCTTCTTTCAAACAATATGTTCATCATTACCTAGTAAACTTAAGTCTGTTTAAACCATTTTTATTTACGAAAAACATTCACACATTCTCAAGCAGCTCTAAGAGTTTAATTTCTGTAGCACACATTAGTGTATAAAAGACAATCTAGGACTAGAAATGAACGACCATAAAACATGAAAATCTGTAATTTTTCTGTAATTGGACACTCAACGTTTCGTTTTACAGGAGCGTTCCACTAAAACACAAACTGTAACCGGCAGTACAAAGCCTCAAATGGTTTGAATAATAAATTTATTTTGGTGTTTTAAGGTCCTTTATTTATAGTAAAAAAAGGTTCTGAGAATTTGTTTTGGAGTAACACAAATATCGAAATCTAATAAATTAAAAGCTTGCATTTTAATTAGCAACGAATAAAATTCTCTACAGTTTCTTTTTATCCTAGTTGTTCATATCGTAAAGTATAAAATTGTTTGTTTGTTTTTAATTATGCAGCAAGCTACACAAGGGCTATCTGTGCTATGCCCACCACGGATATCGAAACCCGGTTTCTAGCATTGTAAGTCCGCAAACATACCGCTGTGTCACTAGGGAGGGGGGGGGGTCGGTAGGAAATTACGAAATCCATTAATTTTGAATAACTGACTGACGTTTTTTTCTTCTTCTTCTGATAATATCATTTTTTCAATATTCCTCGAGAATTTTGTCATAATTGAAACAACTAAACTTTATTTTTCTTAACATAAGCATAGCTGATCGTTGGTCAAGCCGTTAAGAAGGCGTAAATCGGGACACTTAACAGAAATATTACAGTTTGCTTCAGTAACATCATTCGGTAACAATATTTATGACATCGTTGGATTACTGAAATAGGTCACCAGAGTTAACACTATAGGTCATTTTGTTGGGTTGTTTCAATAAATAGATTACCATGCCTACATCTGCATATTTATTTCGAATTTTGGTAATTTTTTTTATTATTTAATTACCCACGCCCCTAGAAGGGGCGAGGTTATTGCAATCGGGTCTGTGTGTCTGTCTGTGTTTCCGCGCGCGTATCTCGAAAACTAATAGATTGATGCATACAAAAATTGTACATTAGATGGGAAGTCAGTATGGGACAGTCCTCTTCCAAATTTGGCCCAGTTACAAATATGTATCCGGACAACTTTGAAGCATTTGTATCATGGGGAGATAGGGAGGTTTGGGGTTAAGAAATCTGTACAGTGAGATCGGATTTGTACCAAATTTAATGGGCATATTAAGATTGAGACTCCTCATCAAATTACAAAAATGATCCGAATCGTTGATCATTCTGGATCTGAGAAGAATATTCTGAGTTTTCGAAGGTGAAATTTGACGTCATCCAATATAAACGCATGTAATCTAGAAAAGGAGCGGCGGGACAAAGGTATGTAATCTCTCTGATTGCTCTTGTTTAATTTAGTAGTTATTTAATGTCTAATTATTTTATTTAATATTCAGAACATCATAATAACGATGATCAGTCAGTATGACGACCTACAATACTCAAATAATTAACTCATTAAAAAACAAGAAATGGCGTGATTATTTGAGTACTTATATACATTCATATCTGTGGTTGTTATATTTGATCTTGCAAGTGGATTTCAGATATTTCTGTAACGACGAGAAACGTTGCATCAAAGGTATTCAGTATCGTTTAGTTGTTTAATGAATTTCGCGCAAAGCTATTGGAGAGCTTTCTGCTCTAATTTTAAAGTGGACATACAAGAAAGAAGCCAGCTAGTTAACTTCATCCACGGCTTATTCTTGGACTATTATTTACCAATAACTAGTGAGATTGACAATTGCGTAATAACGACCCCATTGCTGAAAAGGGCAATCGTGTTCTGTGACGGGATTTGATCCCACGACCCACGTGTCCTAACGACAAGGCTATGCCAGGACCAAAACAATCAGTAACGACCCCACTGCTGAAAGGGGCGATCATGTTCTGTGACGGGATTCGATCCCACGACCCACGTGTCCTAACGACAAGGCTATGCCAGGACCAAAACAATCAGTAACGACCCCACTGCTGAAAGGGGCGATCATGTTCTGTGACAGGGTACGATCTCTTGATTCGCGTGTCCTAACGACAAGGCTATGTCAGGACCAAAACAATCAGTAACGACCCCACTGCTGAAAGTGGCGATCATGTTCTGTGACGGGGTACGATCCCTTGACTCGCGTGTCCTAACGACAAGGCTATGCCAGAACCAAAACAATCAGTAACAACCCCACTGCTGAAAGGGGCGATCATGTTCTGTGACGGGGTACGATCCCTTGACTCGCGTGTCCTAACGACAAGGCTATGTCAGGACCAAAACAACCACTAAACGATGGCTATAAATACAAACTGACTCAGACCAACAGTTAAATACAGACCTCCAACTGATGAGTAATTTAATGGTAAGGTATGATGAGGAGCAAGGAGATCGTTATTAAACAACACATCTGCTAGCAAGTTTTCATCTAGAGGACACTCTTTTAAACAAGTCTTCTCCAAAGATGACAGAATCGTATTTTGACATAACTTTTCTTATATTTCAGAATTTGTAGTGCATACTGGAGGGTTTGTTTCTTTGTTTTCGCGCAAAGCTACACGAGGGCTATCTGCGCTAGCCGTCCCTAATGTAGCAGTGTAAAACTAGAGATAAGGCAGCTAGTCATCACCA